ACAACGTGTTTTTATGCAAAATAATTACTTTATTACATACCTTTGACTGTACCGTGAAGATGCGGGTTAGAATTGGTCTTCAGCAACCCATGCTTGTCGTAAAAGGCAACTAACGGGATCGGGTGGTGAGGCTCGCTGACTTGGTTGATGCATGTCATCGATCCAACATTGGGGGGATTGATGCTCATGATGTCAATCACTGGATTTTCTGGTCCAGACTCGATTACTTAACGACCGCCGTCATATAGCTGGAATATTGCTGAGTGCGGCGTTAAACAACAAAACAAAAAACCAGACTGTACTTTATTAATGATGACATTTGTATGACTACTGGAGCGGTCAATGATTCATTTCGGCTCTGTCAATGATGAACCCTTCTGTGATTCATGTGGGATTGTGTGGCTTGCCTATACTGACTCAAACCCTCTTCAAGCCGACCAGGGCCCACTTGCACAAACGATCTTAGCGCTAAGACTATTGTAAGCCTATGTTATCGCTTTGTGAAAGTGGCCCCTGGGTAAGTAGACTAATATTTGGTCCCGAAAAAACATATTCTATTTAAAAATGTATTTAAAAATATTATGTTCTCGGCCTGTTGATCACCGTGACCTCCTCACACACACACACACACACACACACACACACACACACACACACACATAGTGAGTGAGTTTGGTTTTACGCCGCTTTTAGCAATATTCCAGCAATATCACGTCGGGGGACACCAGAAATGGGCTTCACACATTGTACCCATGTCGGAAATCGAACCCGGGTCTTCGACGTAACGAGCGAACGCTTTAACCACTAGGCTACCCGGCCGCTCCCTACACAAACATCAAAAACTGAAGTTTATTTGGAGATCAGATATGTTTACATCTACAGCTGCAAGATTTTTTAAAATTAAAACGACGTGCATGAATATTAAGAATATTATCTAAAGAAAAACGCCTTGCATCAAAGTAATTTTTGTAGCACACAATTTCTCGTTTTTTCAACCGTCTGTAGCGGAATTATGTTTTTCCAAAAAAATCGGGGACAATTTATTTTTTTCGATAAAACAACCATACTGCCCCACACCCCCAGAATATCAAATGATCGGTCCCTTAGGGTTATCGCTCAACTGGCACACCGCCATGTCAAGGCAATACCATTCAAAGCGGCATAAAACACTTATACTTAAACTTCGAGTTTCACTTCCTTCTCTATGCTCTCTAATCTAGCTTAAAACACATTTTTCCAGAAGCAGAGATATGAAACATTGTGTGTATCACGTAGACCCCCCAAGTACTGACAGGTCAAAAGGAGTCGAACACAACCACACCACGTGACTTGAGGCAGAACCACTCGTACATTCAAGAATACACGAACTTATGTGGATTGTAAATTTTCGTCTGCGTGAACAAATATTTTGATGATTGAAGCATACTTCACGGTAGCGCTGGTGTGGGTAGTGGGTGGGTGGGGGGGACGTCTTCAAGCGCAAATAGTGAAGGTAAAATGGCTTCAAGTGGCGTTAATGGCGTAATGCCACTTCTGGTGAGCTAATGGGTTCAGAAGGTCAAGGTTCGACCACGGTGTTTGTAGGTATATCAATAACATTGTGCTATCACCCATCAGAGTGTTTATGGACCATGCAGATACACGTATGAACACGAAAACGTTGCGAATGACATTATCAAAGATTAAAACAAATACTGCTATTTAAACTCCGGCATCTTTGTTTTGATAACAAAATGAATAAATATATCTTATATTGATAAAATGATGTATATCAATATATTGTACTGAGAACACACTACATATCAACATATTGCATTCATGACATAATACATCTCTACAACATATCAATATCTATAACGACATGTCTTAGGCCCGATTGTCGACCATCGTATAAATCAAATGTCTCCAAGACAGAAATGTGATAATTGTTTCAACGATGAAGCTGTGACCTTGATGACCTTATATCCCATAATAACAGCGTGGATCCATGCTCATGCTGTCGACCACTAGTTTACCACCCTGGAATATTTACAAACGTCTGTGAATATATAGTTAAAATATTGCTTCTTGTGCGATTTATGACTTCCGCTTAAAGCAACATTCACTCACTGTCCAACTCGCTGTAAGTTAGGCATTATACACATGTCCAGTCGAACCTTGGACAATGGTTATTGTTCAACAAAATCAGTAAATGCGCTGTTGTCTGGAGTTCTGGTCCATCACTTGATTGTCTGGTTTGTTTACAGATGCATAACAGGCAACAAACACATACTTTTTTATGCAAATTGTATGAGTAGCAGGTGCTACTTGTAAGAAAGGACATGCTTACCCTTTTCGCGAACACCGGGTGTCATCACTTATTTTCAGTGATCCATTCATACCATTTTCACCTTATTTAGCCTTTTACGCCCAATGGTGAGTGAGTGAGTGAGTTTGGTTTTACGCCGCATTTAGCAATATTCCAGCAATATCATGGCGGGGGACACTAGAAATTGGCTTCACATATTGTACCCATGTCGGGATTCGAACCCGGGTCTTCGGCGTGTGTGACGAGCGAATGCTTTAACCACTAGGCTACCCGACCGCCCCTACGCCCAATGGAAATCTGTTTGGTCGGATTATCGACACTGGGTATTCTCTGGTGTGGACGTTTTATATTTAGGAACGCCATTTCAATATATGCACTCAGAGGTGTCATGGTTCGTTAATTCGGACGATCGCTCTGATTAGAGAGCACTGTTCGGATTAATAGGGTTTCAGTGTACATACGTCAGGTCCCACATTTTAGATTCTGATACCCCCGACGGTGATTGCCTATATGGAGTACTATCGCGTTCCCTTGATATGACATATTAAACTCATATTCATAATAAAGATAAAAGTCCAGTAAAGACATCGCATGAATATGTTTGTTGTTTAACGCCGCCCTCAGCAATATTCCAGCTATATGACGGCGGGCATGACCACCCGAACCCGTTTGTCGCCCCTTACGACAAGCGTAGTCGCCTTTTACGGCCAACATTGGATTCTAAAGACCTATTCTGACTCGGATCTTCACTTATAGCGCATTGATATAACCTAAACACTCTACTCTTACCCAAAAGGTGTTGTTTATTATGTCCTTTGTCCTCTGAACCGTGAAGATAAGGGTAAGAATTTGTCTTCAGCATCCCATGCTTGCCGTAACAGGCGACTAACAGGATCGGATGGTCAGGTTCGCTGACTTGGCTGATTCATGTCATCGTATCCAAATCGCGGGGATCGATGCTCATGATGTCAATCACTGGATTGCCTGGTATAGAGTCGATTATTTAAAGACCGCCGTCATTTAGCTGGAATATTGCCAAGTGCAGCGTTAAACAACAAACTTGTGCCCAATCCCTTTGTCTTTTTGGACAATAAATTTGTTTAATAAAAATAGTAAAACAACAAACTAACAAACAAACAAAATCCTATGTCTTCTGTGTTAAACACGAGTGCGAAATCTGATCCACTGGAAGTATTCATCAAATCGTCGACATCGCCAATGTCCGTAATGGAATATATTAACTCTTATGGTTGGAGAAAAAGGATATTGTATGCAAACAGAAGAAAAAAATATGTGAGCCCTCGTGGTAATATTGTCCTTCAAAGATTGGACCTCCATCTAGCCGCGGGTAGCAATTCTCATTTGAATCCCACAAAATACTTGACAGCAAAGCACTGGGATAAATACCGACCAGACAGATAATTTGTTTAGATTACACCCAGCGGACCACTAGCAGTTCATTTCATTGATTCCATGTAGTTTCTGGCCTCTCCCAACAGACGGCGGGGAGTTTGGCAAAGGGCGGAAACTGTGTTTTATCGAGATGTAATTATAGTGGTATATTGACCTGGATACTCCACAGGGAGTCATCTGACTTGTATAGCAGCCTAGTGCTGCAAGCACGATCATTGTATTGACCATAGGATCCGAACTTGGGAATAGGCCTCCGGTGTTAAGTTATTTTGGTCCCTGTGATATTGTGTCTCCTTTGCTCTCGAATGAATCATTGAAATCCCGTTGGTTGAATGCAAAAATCAAAATGTTTCCTTATTTGCATGACGTTTATTTGTAAGCAGCTGTTTCTGATAACACACCCGTAACTATGACAACATGGAACAAGAAGTAACGGTTGTGATTATCTCAAGAGTGAATGGTTTTACGCCCGATTTCAACAAAAAATCAGCTTCATCATCGGGTCTGCAGTCAGCATTCTGCCATGCGTTTGGAAATTACTCGATTCTGACTGGTCAATTAGAGGTATCAAATCACAGTAACCACCTCTGATTGAAACAGCCAATTTGACGGCCGCATCATCGAGAAAGATATACTATTTATAGAAAAAGTACTTCTTTCTCAGTCATTGTCGGTAGGCATTTAAAAATAATCATGTGTACAATTACAGATTATAAAATACTGATTTGTGTTTACGACGATGTTTGTAGTATGTGTCGCAGTACATCTATAGCAGAAAACACGATCAACATCGTCTAAAAAAGAGTATTTCAAGTAAAACAGTTCGAAATTTGGTGCTTTTCTTTAGCCGACTGTGACGTCACAATGAGCGGTATGGCGGCATATTAGTAACATGTGGTTTAGAATGAGTAAGTGAGTTGGGTTTTAACGCCGCTCTTAATAGTATTCCAGTTATATCGCTGCGTGTCAGCTTAATGTGGGAGGAAAGCCCAAAGTGATGCGGGTCTCAGACGTTTACCACTTCGGTGAAACCCGCGAGCACGGGTATGGTGCTGACAAACCTAGAAACATAATCGGGGAGAACCCACAATCATAGGTTTCTGGCATGCCCAAGGGACGCAACTCTGCACAGCGAATCGCGGCGCCTTAGACGACTGGGCCACCCGTGCCCCCCTGTGATTCAGAACAAAAGTTTGCTAGGCTTACTTATTTTTCTTTAGGGGTGCCCATTTAACGAGGTTTATTAAGTTCTTGTTTAACTAGTAAATTATGATGATTTGAAAAAGTCATTTAGCACATATACAACATTAACCTTTGATTAAAGGCTAATATCCATGATCAGATCGACAATCCACTTAAAACAATGTCAGTGTTCTTCGTTTATTAGGTAAAAACAAGCAACGATACAAGAGTAAAAACTGGTGTTCCAGTCCAAATATTCATGTTATTGAAAACTGTGCTCAGTGACATTTATCAACACATTTGGCTAATAATGCCAGTGTGTGTTCGTTTTTTTAACGCCGCATTTAGCAATGCGTAAGTATTATGCGTTGAGGGACCTGTCTTCCACATCTTGTAATTATTCTTGCTACCACAGACACCCAGACGAAGTTTACTTGCCGCCATTATTTATTCTCTCTCTCACCTTCACCCCTGTCCAAGGGCAGATAATACCAAACGTCATTTCATTTCAAACCACCAGAAAATAAAGATTACATGCTTTTCCCCCATGTGAAATTTCCATTGAAATTTACTACAAAATGTACTCCGTTTTGCTACGCTACCGTTAGTGCGTTAAAAGGTTTATGAAGTAGACGTGAGATTGATAAAATCATTTGCATGCATTTGGCGCATTCCTGTGAAGTAGGCTTGAATTGTCGGCCATTTGTCAAACATTGCTGCAAGACACGACCTATCCAAATAAGCAAGCATTATACCTGTTGAATTCAAAACAGACACCGGCAGAATTCGTTTTTTTGGACAATCATGTCTCGTGTTTTTGAAGTCGTTAAATGTCATCCCCAGGTTGGATCGGATAATCCCCGTGACGTACACGTCATCCATGGCTATGAAACGCGTCACGGATGACGCACGGTATAACTGTGACACAACATCAGGGGAGACAATATACCCAAACCCTTGGCAAAAGTCTGGCACGTTTGTAAACGGGTACATTTCATAGGACATTTGGTATTTAGAATCATTTCTTCTGGCCGTATGTTTATTTCTTATTATTGAACATTCTAGCACATTTGTAGGATCCAATTGTAGGAGATGACGAACTAGTATATACGGGTTCATAAAAACATCGTCATCAATTTTGAGGATAAACGTCACTTCCGGGCAATGGTTCAACGTCCAGTGCTGGCCCATGACATGTTTGAGGGTGAGGTTTGCATACACGTCCTTGAAATTACCTTGTACAATGTCCTTGAACTCAGCAGCCTCGTTTTCAACATTTTGCTGACAATCACCCCTTTCGTTTGTTCCAACTAAAAAAATTACAACAATATTCTTGTTTGATATATTTTTCACACTTCCAAACGTGTTACGAATCATTCTTCTAGGCTTAAAATGACACACCGATGTGTGAACGAGGATCAGCAAAAACACAGAACGACCTTGACACAGGTCAGAGGTCAAGGTGAAGCTGTACAGGTGAAGGTTGAGGAGCCGGTGTTGCTTTTCGTCTGGTCTTAGTATTGAGAAATTAAACAGACCAGGGATTGTTTCAGCTGTGGGCGGGACCAACACTGGTTTGTGTATTTCCATTTCGTGTAGTTTAAAATGCAAAGGCTCTGTCCAATAATCACCATCATTTCCTTGTTTTTTAAGCGTCTTTGAAGTCAATGGTAACATATAATGTACATACATAAATTGCACATAATACGATACGAACAAGGTGCCAACGCATGCGAGGAACATTATGCACAGGAACCTCCTCATGCTGGGGTTATGAACTGAAACGAGACGAAAACCAAAAGCTTTGCTTTAAAATCAAAAGAACAAGTTTTAGGTGTCATAGACAAAGAGAACATACATCTAAAATAACTCACGTTCAATGACATGTCACATTAATAGCTTGTATGACCACCCCTGCTACAAACACCCCAACGCAAACACTCTCCGGCCCACATAAAAGTCAGTCGTCTGATTACGTCACGTAGGATACGGCGCCATTCTTTTTGGAGGGCCTGGGTCCTTTCTTGTCGGTTGGCTGGAGGAGGTGGACGCTGTCGAACACGACGATCCATGACATTCCAATGGTGTCCTGTGAGGGACATGTCTGGGAAGTTCTATAATTCGGGCTGTATGGGGTCTGGCGTTGTCATGCTGATAAAAGTCACCACGTGGCAGCTGTTGTAGAAATGGTAGGACAATCGGACGGAAAATGTCATCCACGTTACGCTGAACTGTCAATATTCTGTTAACGATGACCAGTGGTGTTCTCTTCTGTCCATAAATTCCATCCCACACCATAACACCCTCTACACTATACGGCACGACCTCCTGGACGCAACATGCAGCCGTTTGTTCTGTTAACGATGACCAGTGGTGTTCTCTCCTGTCCACAAATTCCACCCCACACCATCACACCCCCTACACCATACGGCACGGCCGCCGTAAACACGCTGTTTTCCGTCAACACCGGCTTTCATCAGTCACGTCGCTGCCAACGACGTACAGTCGGGGTTATCTCAATCTCTGACGACGATGTTGCGCTGTCAATAACTGTCCTCTGAAAGGTTTGCAAGCCCTAAGTCGCCTGGCCACTCTTTGTCGACTAACCATATGCCTCAAGACATTCGTCGCTTATCACTGTCAGGAATCGAATCCAGAGATGCAAAGTACGCAAGTACCGGTCTTCATTGGGCGTAGTTACCCTGGGTCTGCCTGTTCTTGGCCTGTCTGATGTCCGCCCTGTTTGTCTGTAACGTTGCATCAGGTTAGTTACAGCAACACATGAGCAACCAAAAGTCCTAGCAATGTGGGCATGGGTGGCTCCATCTATATCATAACCAGGGCCCGGGGGTCGGTCGTGGCATTTCTATGGGGATTTTTGACTTGTCTGACATGCCGTCCGTATCATTTATGTACCCATACTGCCCATTTTCACTTTATTGCAGAAACTTAAAAATTGCGTGCCGTAAACGGGTATCACTTTCTGCATAGAGCATTGTTGTGCTTGGGCGATTTGTTTTACATTGATTTAGTTTGAACATGTGTTTTTAAATTTTTATCATTTCATTTTTAAAGTGGTAACGTTTCTTTTGGCCGTCAGTTTACTTTAAAACTTTCAAGTTTAAGTTTAAGGTTACAACTAAATTCTCTGGCACAAACATTTATGACAATGGATGGAAATAGGACTTACATAGACATCGGAGTTGTTCTGGTGGTAAGGTGCCAGAGTAGGCCTCGTTTGTTTTCTCTCAGAACACAGTCCTCTCTAAATAGTCCAACATTATCATCTTGCCATGAATTGATGGAATATTCTTGACAAGAAATATGAAGACGATTGTGCACATCTATTATGATCAACCGCATCTGCTACTACGTGTAATCATCCATACATGAATACGTCACTATTCCGACCGGGGATTGGAATCTGGCGGTGTCAGTATTGATGGCTGGGTTACATGGACAACGGATACAAATTACTTATATAGAAAACCCAGCTGTCACAAGTTGATATAATTGATTGTAACTTTTACACAATCTACCTACGTAACACTTGGGCCCGTGTGCGCAAAGCAACCACAGCGCTCGGCTAACGCTTAGATTCTGAAAATATATACTTTTGATAGAAAGAAACAGCTACATTGAAATTGAAAAAGGGCCCCAGTGAAATGGAATGCTCCTGAAAATTGTGCTTCATTTAGGGCTAAAATAAGTGCCGGGCGAAAGTGAAAATAACATGGTTCAGAGACTGTGAGACAGTCTACAATAGTGCTGAAGGTTTGATATATATTGTAACACTAGACTATGATACAGCCTATGAAATCTTTCTAATATGTATCTTGTTCAGGTGGCCCCTGATAGGCAAGGGTGAGAATTGGTCCCCAGTCCCTCTTGTTTGCCATTGGGGATGTAGGGAGAGAATTGGTCCCCAGTACCTCTTGTTTACCATTGGGGATGTACGGAGAGAATTGGTCCCCAGTCCCTCTTGTTTACCATTGGGGATGTAAGGAGAGAATTGGTCCCCAGTCCCTCTTGTTTACCATTGGGGATGTAGGGAGAGAATTGGTCCCCAGTCCCTCTTGTTTACCATTGGGGCTGTACGGTGATAAGTGGTCCCCAGTCCCTCTTGTTTACCATTGGGGATGTAGGGAGAGAATTGGTCACCAGTACCTCTTGTTTACCATTGGGGATGTACGGAGAGAATTGGTCCCCAGTACCTCTTGTTTACCATTGGGGATGTAGGGAGAGAATTGGTCCCCAGTCCCTCTTGTTTACCATTGGGGCTGTAGGGATAGAATTGGTCCCCAGTACCTCTTGTTTACTATTGGGGATACAGGGAGAGAATTGGTCCCAAGTACCTCTTGTTTACCATTGGCGATGTAGGGAGATAAGTGGTCCCCAGTCCCTCTTGTTTACCATTGGGGCTGTAGGGAGAGAATTGGTCCCCAGTCCCTCTTGTTTGCCATTGGGGATGTAGGAAGAGAATTGGTCCCCAGTCCCTCTTGTTTACCATTGGGGATGTAGGGATAGAATTGGTCCCCAGTACCTCTTGTTTGCCACTGGGGCTGTAGGGAGAGAATTGGTCCCCAGTACCTCTTGTTTACGATTGGGGATGTAGGGAGAGAATTGGTCCCAAGTACCTCTTGTTTACCATTGGGGATGTAGGGATAGAATTGGTCCCCAGTACCTCTTGTTTACCATTGGGGATGTAGGGAGATAATTGGTCCCCAGTACCTCTTGTTTGCCATTGGGGATTTAGGGAGATAAGTGGTCCCCAGTACCTCTTGTTTACCATTGGGGATGTAGGGAGATAAGTGGTCCCCAGTACCTCTTGTTTGTCATTGGGGCTGTAGGGAGAGAATTGGTCCCCAATACCTCTTGTTTGTCATTGGGGCTGTAGGGAGATAAGTGGTCCCCAGTACCTCTTGTTTGCGATTGGGGATGTAGGGAGAGAATTGGTCCTCAATACCTCTTGTTTGCCATTGGGGATGTAGGGAGATAAGTGGTCCCCAGTACCTCTTCTTTGCCATTGGGGATGTAGGGAGAGAATTGGTCCCCAATACCTCTTGTTTGTCATTGGGGATGTAGGGAGATAAGTGGTCCCCAGTACCTCTTGTTTGCCATTGGGGATGTAGGGAGAGAATTGGTCCCCAATACCTCTTGTTTGTCATTGGGGATGTAGGGAGATAAGTGGTCCCCAGTACCTCTTGTTTGCGATTGGGGATGTAGGGAGAGAATTGGTCCCCAATATCTCTTGTTTGCCATTGGGGATGTAGGGAGATAAGTGGTCACCAGTACCTCTTGTTTGCCATTGGGGCTGTATGGAGAGAATTGGTCCCCAGTCCCTCTTGTTTGCCATTGGGGCTGTAGGGATAGAATTGGTCCCAAGTACCTCTTGTTTACCATTGGGGATGTAGGGATAGAATTGGTCCCCAGTACCGCTTGTTTACCATTGGGGATGTAGGGAGAGAATTGGTCCCCAGTACCTCTTGTTTACCATTGGGGATGTAGGGAGATAAGTGGTCCCCAGTACCTCTTGTTTACTATTGGGGATGTAGGGAGAGAATTGGTCCCCAATACCTCTTGTTTGTCATTGGGGATGTAGGGAGATAATTGGTCCCCAGTACCTCTTGTTTGCCATTGGGGATGTAGGGAGATAAGTGGTCCCCAGTACCTCTTGTTTACCATTGGGGATGTAGGGAGAGAATTGGTCCCCAATACCTCTTGTTTGCCATTGGGGATGTAGGGAGATAAGTGGTCCCCAGTACCTCTTGTTTGCGATTGGGGATGTAGGGAGAGAATTGGTCCCCAATATCTCTTGTTTGCCATTGGGGATGTAGGGAGATAGGTGGTCACCAGTACCTCTTGTTTGCCATTGGGGCTGTATGGAGAGAATTGGTCCCCAGTCCCTCTTGTTTACCATTGGGGCTGTAGGGATAGAATTGGTCCCCAGTACCTCTTGTTTGCCATTTGGGCTGTACGGAGAGAATTGGTCCCCAGAACCTCTTGTTTACCATTGGGGATGTAGGGAGAGAATTGGTCCCCAGTACCTCTAGTTTACCATTGGGGAAGTAGGGAGAGAATTGGTCCCAAGTCCCTCTTGTTTACCATTGGGGATGTAGGGAGATAAGTGGTCCCCAGTCCCTCTTGTTTGCCATTGGCGATGTAGGGATAGAATTGGTCCCCAGTACCTCTTGTTTACCATTGGGGCTGTAGGGAGAGAACTGGTCCCCAGTACCTCTTGTTTACCATTGGGGCTGTAGGGAGAGAATTGGTCCCCAGTACCTCTTGTTTACCATTGGGGCTGTAGGGAGAGAATTGGTCCCCAGTACCTCTTGTTTACCATTGGGGCTGTACGGAGAGAATTGGTCCCCAGTACCTCTTGTTTGCCATTGGGGCTGTACGGAGAGAATTGGTCCCCAGTACCTCTTGTTTGCCATTGGGGCTGTACGGAGAGAATTGGTCCCCAGTACCTCTTGTTTGCCATTGGGGCTGTACGGAGAGAATTGGTCCCAAGTACCTCTTGTTTGCCATTGGGGATGTAGGGTCAGAACTTATTAACAACCCTTGATTTCTTCTTGTTTAAAAAGTGGCACACAAATTACACACATATTAGGTGAGGTGAGGTGAGGTGAAATGGGGTTTAACGTCGCGTCCAAGATTATTGCACTTATATAGCGACGTGCATGTACGTGTGTGTGTTTGTGTGGCTGCTTGTACTAGTCCGGACTGATGCCGATTTAAAGTGCTAGCTCACAGAGATACCATGCCGCAGTTTAACATGAATACCCCCCTCAGACACAGTATACTGACTCCGAGCCGACCAGTCCTTGTTTTAGCCCCTAAATGCCGAGCGCCAGACAGGGTAACAACAAGTACCAGCTTTTAACGTCTTTTGGTATGACGCGGCCGGGGATCGAACCCCGGACCTTCCGCTCTCGGGGCGGACGCTCTACCACTAGACCACCGAGGCGGTCCAGACACATATTATATCAAATAACAGCATATCCTGTCCTTTCTGAATATTGTAGGTTCAACCACTGGGTCATTAAAACATACATCAAACCTGCTAAGTGCGCACATATTTGGACATACTTTATTCTTATCAATGAAAATCTAGTTATTGAAATAAATATAGTCATATACACTGCCGGACAATAGAATGTATACGCCTGAAAATTAAACTTGGCCAAAAGTTATAAACGTTATCAAAACGTTACTGACTAAACAAGTCGCCAAAACTCCAACCTTAGGTCCATAACACAACAACGTTACCCGTAAACAATACCCGCAAAAAAATAGCCGTAAATAATACCCGCATCAAATACCCGTGGAAAATACCCGCAAAAAAATAGCCGTAAAAAAATATATTACCATCGAATAACCATTTCTTGTGTTTCAATTTTACTCACCATGAAACATTGGTGTGTGCTTTCTTTTGAGCGGCAGTTTTTATATGTTTTTCTAACGTGTCCCTCAACATTTAATGAAAAGCGTTTTGTATCCACGGTTAGGATAATGTTTATCTTAGAACCCACATATACAGGCCCAGCTTGACATTTTCTAAGGAGGTCAAGGTGAAGCTTGGCGTATTAAGGTATTGTTGCAGGAGTTTCTGTTCCCAATGTGTTAGAAACTGGCTATTTACTGTCTTGTACAGGTAGATTATTGGTTTGATTAAAGGTCATTTGGGTCTTCAGGATGTCCCTGACAGTTTTGTCCATTATGAAACAATATCACAGCGATCTCTGCTCTAAGGCTATCGATCGTAACTCCTTACGTTGATATTGACCTCAGTTGTACCTCTCAAATGGCTTCCTCAAAGGGGCTCTGTTTTGTTCTGCGGGCCTTGCGCTGAGAGTGGCATTACTCTAGCATTACACTGACATTACTCTTGTATTACTCTGATATAACTCTGACATTATTCTGACATTGTTCTGACATCACCCTGGCATTACTTTTGCATTGCTCTGACATTACTCTGGCATTACGGTGACATTACTCTGGCATTACTTTTGTATTGCTCTGACATTACTCTGGCATTACTGTGACATTACTCTGGCATTACTTTTGTATTGCTCTGACATTACCCTGACATAACTGTGATATTACTATGACATTACTCTGACATTATTATGACATTGTTCTAACATTACTCTGGCATTACTCTGACATTACTCTGGCATTACTCAGACATGACTCTGGCATTACTGTCACATTACTATGACATTACTGTCACATTATTCAGACATTGTTCTGACATTACTGTGACATTACTCTGGCATTACTCTGACATAACTCTGACAGTCGTAACTCTAAGACTGCTTTGTCTTTGCTTATCAAGAAACATGGTGTTCTTCCACAAAGCGGTCTCGACGCTCCAATGGTCGTTACCCT